GGGAGGGGGGGGGCTTGGAATGCTTGGGAGACGCCTCCTCGGCACAAAACGTCAGGGTTTCCTTGGGTCAGGTCGCTGCCGGCAAGGCGCAGGGGCTTCTTGGAGGGGGAAGGCGCGCTGGCGGCGTTGAGCCTCCTTCTGAGGGCTAGTGGGAAGTTTTAGCCGCGGCTCTGGGGCAGAGTCAGGGGATGGCCTGGAGCGAGTGGCTTGGGCTTGCTTGAGGTGAGCGGCTTATCCGGTGCGGCTTCCAGATTTGCGCTGCCAAAGCTCAGGTTTTTGAGATTTCAGTTGGGTTGATGTGCCTCATCTGGTTCTCGCTTAAGCCAGGGCTCTTTTTGTAGAAAAAGTCCAGCAGGAACTCATTAGCATAATAGACCACACCCAATAGCAGAAACCATTAGCATATTAGGCCACACCCCTGACAACATAGCTCATTAGCATATTAGGCCGCACCCCATGTTACCAGCAGTGTAGTCATCCAGCCACACCCACCTTTTGCTTCTTATTCTGTTTACCCTGTTTGTTGTCAAAACCCAGGGCTTTTCTTGTAGCAGGAACTCCTTTGCATGTTAGGCCACACACCCCTAACGTAGCCAATCCTAATGAATATCTGCTGTTGGGTGTGGCCTATTATGCTAATGAGTTCCTGCTGGGCGTGGCCAACTCAGGAGCCAGCCAGAACTCCGTTCCTGTGCGTTCCTGCCCAAAAATAGCCCTGCTTAAAACCAATCTTATTGAGAGTCAATTTGGTGCAGTGGTTAGGAACGCAGGCTCTAATCTGGGAGAACCGGGTTTTGATTCCCCACTTCTCCACATGCAGCTGCTGGAGTGACCTTGGGTCAGTCACAAGTTCTCTCAGAGGTGTTCTCAGAGCTCTCTCAGCCCCACCTACCTCACAGCGTGTCACTTACAGGATTGTAAGCCACTCTGAGTGAAGGGTGGGGTATAATTCCAATTTCTTCTTTTATTATTTATGCAGTCTGATGGTTATTGCCAAGAGTCTTCAAGATACCTTTTGGAAAACCCAGCATGATTAGAATGGGATTCAATGCTGTTTTGCTTAGTCCAAATACACCACAGGCCTTAGACATTAGCATCATTGATTTCCCCACTCTTCCCACGTAATCAGCCATCTGGTCCTAGGTCTTCATGCATGTAATACCTTTTATCAGGATTGACCAAAGTAGTACAAAGCAGTGTGCAAACATTCAAGAACTCTTCCTCATATTGGATTTTTTTTAAAAACGGAGAAGGGCTGAAGAAAAGGTTTCAGGCCCCCTAGGGCCTCTGCTCTGCATTCTGTGTAGAATGCTAGGCCAATTGGAATAGATAATGAGGTGCCAAGATTGGAGTAGATAATGCAATGCTGGGTGGAGCTGGTATCAGGTTGCAGTTTTGGCTTTCTGAGAAGAAAAGAGAATGGCAGCCTGTAGCAAAAATATATATTTTAATAATTAATTGAATAAATGCCTTTCTTATACCAAATGGCCCACAAAGTCTCTGGTAAGTGGTGATACCCAGACACAAAGTGTCAAATCTTCTATGCTATGTAGTCTTTGATTGTGTATGTCAAGTTATCTTTTTTGACTCGTGTGTTTGTGTTTAAAGCTTTTTTAAACACCATATTCAGGGTCAGCTCAAGCATTTTTGCCCCCCTAGGCAAACTGATTTTTGCCCCCTCCGCCACATTCAATAGAGAGAAAAAGAAGCCTAGAGTGAACTTTTTCTTTAAAATGATGTAGTGGCAGGAGTAAATGGTGGCAAAAGCCATTAGTGGGGATCCATTAAATACATGTTGTATAGAATGAAGGTAAATAATGTTCTTAATAAAAGTGATCATGATTTTTAACACCTTAAAGACTGACTTGTTTTTATTCTAGTCCTGGACTAGTTCATAAACAGGGTTGCCAACTGCCTGGATATGAGATATTCTGTTCTTTTAATAGATGAAACGAACATGAAATTGAGCAAACTTCAGAGGACAGCGGAAGACAGGAGGGCCTGGTGGGAGCTGGTCCGTGGGGTCACGAAGAGTCGGACTCGACTGTGCGACTGAACAACAAAAAATGGGATGTTATTCCCATGTCATTAAAAAACTTTCATGTACCCATTTCCACATATTAAGCCTTTAGTAAAGTTCAAATAGAACATGTAGATGCTCACATGATAAAATTGAAACAATTGAACATACGATTATGAGGGTTAGATTAATTCTTTACTTAGAAATAAAGAAATGCCTACTGAGGCATCTGACAGTATGAGGGCACAGGTGACGTTACTTTTGAATATAAATGATTTTGTTTATTTTTAATTAAAACAGTATAAAATACAATAATACAATTACTACAGTTACTCCATCGCAAAATTTATGGGGGCAATAATTAACAGAAGAATAACACTAAGGAAAGCATTTTATAGTTTTATTTTCTGCTCAAGGCAATTGGGAAAGGACATTATCCTCCAGGCCTGTTGGCAGCCCTCTTTGCCAAAGCTTATGTGAGTAAAAAACACGTTACACATTAAGGAGTCACAAGATTTTAGTTTATTTAGTTTGTTTGTTTTTGTAATTCCACCCTGGCGATGAGTTCTGGGGAACTCAAAAGCTTGCAGTGGACACAGAATAATCTAGGGCGACATGGCTCAAGAGAGAAGCCTGTGACTCTCACACAGTTGATGGGATCTTTCTAGGGAGACTTATTTTCTTCTTTGATATCCAGAAAAGTCTTAGCTAGATTCTGATGAAGACTGATCAACTACTTCAAAGAATCCACAACAAGGATAAGATTTAGGAGGAGAAGAGTGGGTTTTTATACCCCACTTTTCATTACCTGAAGGAGTCTCCGAGCAGCTTACAATCGCCTTCCCTTCCTCTCCCCACAACAGACACCCTGTGAGGTAGGGGGGGCTGAGAGAGAGCTCTCTCGAGAACTGCCCTTGAGAGAACAGCTCTGAAAGAATTTATGACTGACCCAAGGTCACACCAGCAGCTGCATGTGGAGGAGTGGGGAATCAAACCTGGTTCTCCCAGATTAGAATCCACCGCTCTTAACCACTGCACCAAACTGGCTCTCAACAGCCCACACATTCAAGGTTGCAGCTCAGCTAGGTTTTCCTCCCTCCCTCCTGCACATACCCCAAGAGGTGGAGCAGCTGCCCATAGCAGCACCTTTTCACTGGTGGCCACTGCAAAAGAGGAGAAGCAGTGCCACCACCAGCTCCAGAGAAGGAAGGAAGGAAGGTCATGAAGCAGCACCGACCTGTTGGCCTGCGAGCTGAGGAGGCTCCTCTTATCGGCGTCACCTGGGCAGGCTAGGTTGGTGGGTGGGGGCAGACCCAGTGCTCCCTCTCTCCCTTGTGCTGACCCCACTGCTGTGTTGAGCATGTAGCCACAGGCTCAGGCCTGGTAAAGTGGAGCATGGTGTCTCTTAACGGTTCAAAAGAAGCTCAGTGCAGCCTTTTGATGGTCCTCAAAATCCGGTGCCCGAGGCAGCTGCCCAGGTTGCCTTTGGGGCTGGGTCATCCCTGCTCGTACCTCATTCCCATTGCTGAGTGTCTTTGGAATATATTGCTTCTCTTATGCGTACTTGGCTTATTTAACACCCCTTACCTTTACTTTTCTAGCTGGTACTATGTGTGGAGCAGGTAGTATTTCTGAAAGGGTTATTACAGGAAATGTAGATTTTATCCTGCTTCTTGGAAACCTACATACATCTCCCAGGACTGTATAGGTACAGTCCCCAGTGCCATTGGTGCAGATGGCCACTCATCCCTTGCTCTGCCTACTATCTACATAATGTAAATAAATAAAATTAAATTAAAAAAATAATGTGTGGTGCCTGTGATTTCACACCAGGCAGTCAGGATGCTGTGCAGTCAGAATACTCTTCATTCAATGTATTCAGTAATCCCGTAGCATGACAATGATACGTATTAAGTAATCCCATAGCATGACAACTGTTCATTCATTTATTTGATTTTTTTAAGTCGTCACTCACCCAAAGGGTCTTGCAGCAACTCACAACATTACATCCAAACTGGATGGATTCTATTTAGAACCAATACATCAGAAATTGATATTAGTTTTAACTTTTTTCATTTGAGGAGACCAGTGTTCTGCATGGCTGCTGCCACAGATTCCCATCACAAGCAGATTTTGTCAACAGATATGCCCCAGCCCCTTTCATCTACTTTTGTATGTTATCTGGGACAATAAACACTTGACAGGGTATCTTTTTCTCATATACCTTAATCTCAGGGATTTTGCTTTACAGTGATACAGTTAAAAAGCCACCACCTATACAGTGGCATTCTGGACTTTGTGGAATATTTGATCATGACTGACCAGGTGCTTGATAATATCTTAATGGTCAGTTGACCAGTACCCTAGCCCTACCATACTTACTCCTTTAAAAGCATACTAATTTTTGTTGCTTTTAATTCAAGCATGACATGTCAATTTGTTTCAAGAACCAAGACGAGAAGTGAAGGACCTGGAGTTTGAGCTAATGTTTTGAAGTGCACAGTTCCCAATAGCTTGGCAAATTGGAAAGAGGTAGTTGTTACAGAACGCACCCTAGAATGTTACCTAAAACATCTTGGGGACTGTGTGACCTTAGAATTGTGACTGGGAAGCAATTTGAAAGTATATGTGAAAAGTTTTGGGAATATATGTAATCATTTCCCAAATATAGGGTGTAAGCGAGTGAGTGAATGACATACACTCATTGTGTCTGTTCTTCCAAGTAGCTTCTGGGATCTTAAGGTTGTACATACCATTTGTGAAGGGCATGGGATGGAGAGAGGCTGTTGCTGCCTCACTGTAACGTTACTGTAGGTTAATTCAGTGGTATCACACAGCACGTATATTCATTTCCCCCCCGGATGTAGCCCTGCCCTTTTTATCGAAACATCTTACTCGTTTTGCCATCATGGTTCTTGGCAGTATGGTTAATGTATGCCAAGCCAAAGAGAAGTCATTTGTCTGAAATTCACACATTGCGTTTGGAAGTATCTCATGAAATTATTATAGATCACAAAGTGTGGTTCACAAAACTGCATTCTGAGCTTAAGCATGATGCTTCAAATGATGCCTTTCAAGCAAAATGGATACAGTTCTTTGCAGGAAAAAAAATAAGCCAGTCTGGGGTTTTCCTTTTACTGAACAACTTCAGATTTGAGTTTTCTTGCTAATGCAAGAAATTATATGATGGTATGTTCTCCCAGCAATAAAGAACTTTAATGGTAGTAGTAATGTAGGGGTGGAGTTCTGTTTCTTTTAAATACTCACATTTTGGATGATTCACATTCAATGTAGCACCGTGCTATCATACTTTATATTATGGTATATAAGAAAACAGAATTCTAATCTATGGTAGATGTAATCTGTTGTATACAGTATGAATTGATCATGAGATTAATCCAAAAATGTACCCATGTACTAAACTATGTTCTAATAAAAGTCAGGTTGATCTAAAGCACCTTATGAAGGATGTATTCTTAACAGGTATGTGTATTCTACTTACATGGTTCTGACATTTTCTGTCTTCCAGGAAAAGTTCAACATGTTTCAAATTCCTGTTCAAAACCTTGATAATATAAGGAAGGCCCGGAAGAAAGTGAAAGGCATTCTTGTTGATATTGGGCTTGATAGCTGTCAGGAATTACTACAGGTAATGAATATACAAAATCATGAGGACTGTAAGCATTACATTTTGTTTATTCAGTTCTCTGCTGGAGAAATGGCAGCATTGGTTTCTCATCACTGATTAATAAGTTCTTACTGAAATTATGCTTGGAAAAAGATGTGGAGAATAGGCACATTGATCATGCATGGGATGAAATCAGAAAGTAATTGCATTAGTATTGAAGTTGGTGGAAAACCTGCAAGTATTATAGGGTTCAGTTTGGGGATTTATTTGTAGGATGCTTAAAATTAATTTTTTGAGAGAGCTAAGTAATACTGCATATTGATATAGATTAGTTTCCTATGTATTTAATATAGTAATATCTCATCTTTCTACACCTACTGGTCACTAAAAGAAACAGTACACATTTAGTTCAGTATTCATATTATGTATTCTCTTTTGGAACAAACATAAACAAAAAAGGGTGTGATTTGTTCAGAAGAGGGCTAGAGATGCTAATATTCTGCCTTTGTTTAGCAAACAGCAATATTTGTAACTTGTTTTTCCCCCAGCTTCTATAAAACAAGAGAAGGAATTGTATTATGGTAGATCTCTGAATATGAATATGACTGGAGTGGGAAGCCTTGTCTTGTCCAATAGTGAAAAGTTCAGCATTATGTATATTAACTGCATGGACAATTACGATATTTTGAACAAAGCTTATAACTTAAATAGTGACTTCACTATCTATTAGAATAGGGTAATTTAGTAAACAGCTGAATAGCCAGATATTACTCACAGTCCCAGATACAGTTAGACTTGCCATGTCCCTGCCCTTCCCATTGCCGCTCAGCTGGGCAGCAGGAGGAAAATGGGGGGAGGGATTGGCATTACCCCCAATGCCATTACGTCACTTCTGACATAATTTCTGGAAGTGGTGTCATCACTTCGGGAGATGCTGTAGCATTTGCTCAGAACTATGTGGTTAAACCCTACAGTTGCCAATGACCTGGTGATGTCACAGTGTTGCTGGCAAGGGCAGGGCCCCCCCTGGACAGTGAGTCTACTACTGGTTGCCAGTCTCTGACTAGCAACTCTAGGTAAACCAGGGGACTAGTGGTAAATATCTTTTGAAGTTACATGTAATTTATTTCGTAAACATAGTTGGAAACATTTGCCAGATGCAATATTAACTGGAGTCTAGGGTCAAGGAATCCATCTATTACACGTTATCCACACTGTGTACCAAGGAGCTCAGGGTACGGTTCGCCCCCTCCCCCATTTTATCCTCATAGCTCTCCTATGAATTAGGTTAGATTGTGAGTGGGATACAGGCCCAAGGTCACCCCGGTTCTAGTCCGATGCTTTAATAACTATGCCATGTTATCTGTCTTGATTTTAATGTGAATATAACTTATCTTCCTACTGCTCTTAACAATATGTGTTCTTTCTTAGACTCTGAAAAACTTTGACCCGGGAGAAAAATATTTCTGCAACACTTCATGGAGTGATGTCTCTCTTTGGGAATCTGTGGCTAAACGAAGAGTATGTATATCTGCCTTTGTTTTTAGAAGATGATGTCTGGAATCCAAAGCGGTACTTATGCAATCCTAAAGATTTGCGGGAGCCCAGGGAGGATGCTTTAAAAACTCTTTTGCTTTGAACAGCAGTTCCTGTGCCATACCACAGACTACTTTTGAGACACTTCTTTTGTTTAAAAAGCTGGTTGCCGTATAGCAAACAGATTACGGTTCTGGAAGTAAAAATATAAAGTCCTCTTCGACACACAGGACCAATTATGTGGTTCTTTAGAGTCTCTGTGTGTGGGATTTTCTTTCTAAGAGAGCACAGTAAAGATTGGGATTAGGAGACTAGAAAGGAAGTTGATAGGATTTTGTTTTGGCTTCACGAAATAAGGAGGCTTCCTGTTGACAGTAATCTGTATGTTCTGAGATCATAATCATGACCATCCATTATTCTTTTACTCCTTGTTATTTTCTGTTCTTCTTTATTGGGTAGAACTCAGTGTAAAGTAATTGAGTCCTTAGTTACTTATATAACGTTTTTAAACAGAATGCTGTAGAAGAGCTTTCTGGACATTATCATGTTTTGCCACGTTGCACTTCCAATGGGTATTGGCATAGCTGGTGTGCCACAGTACCTGTTTACAGCTTTTGAATACCTTCTTTTATTTGATGAAAGAATGCTTCATTTGCATGTTGTGTCTGGTATGGCAGCCCATAGAATTCCTCAGTAGTCTTCTGTTTTTCCTTTACCTCATTCAGATATGTTCTTCAGAATTGTCATCCCATGTATCCTACATTTGGGCAGTATTCTGCTTTTAAAAAAATATTGTACATCATTTTGTGGGATTAGCTGCAACCCAAATATTGATATTCTCGACCAGTGATGGCGAACCTTTTAGAGACTGGGTGCCCAAACTGTGACCCAAAACCCACTTATTTATCACAAAGTGCCAACATGGCAATTTAACCTGAATACTGAGGTTTTACTTTAGAAAAAACAACTCATACATCAGTTTAAGATGATCCAAACAAAGTAAGGAAAGCAATCCCAAATGCTTTCATTTACTTAAAATTATTTGGTAGAGAATTCGACACTTTAATGATGGTCTGGGCCTGGCTGTGGCGAGGGCACGCGTGCCCACAGAGAGGGCCCTGAGTGCCACCTCTGGCACCTGTGCCATAGGTTCGCCACCACTGTTCTAGACATTTTACTGCATTTCAGTAATGTAGTTACTTATTTCCAAATGCTTTGTGTTGTTACACAAGCACACTATTGATAAAGTGTTAGGATGTTTCTGTTGTCTGATTTGGGGGTTTGGGGCCCAAAATTCTTCCTAGCCCCTGAAATTGTTGTTTTTCCTGATATCTTTTGGGCTTATGCCTGTAACTTGCAGTGGAACATCATGGGCCATATTTAGTCCTTGAATGGCAGCAGCTTGTTCCCAAACCATCGCTGTCTCCTGCCCCTACGTGTCTTTGTTCCACTCCTTGTCTTTTTACCTTTAGCTTCATGCAGGACCAGGTGATCAGAGGCGTGCTATTGATCTCTTTTGGGCTGTTGAAAAAGTGATAGGATTGTTGCTAGGCAACTATCCTATGCATTTCCCCCAGTTCTTCCGTTTCTTGCTGCAGTCGCTGTTGAAAGATAGGAGCCCATGCTGTATGTGATTTGAGGGGGGGATAAGAGTGTAGCATGACAGCAGTGAAGAAGCACATGCAGTAGGACTTGAGTCACTGTTTGTTTATTAAATTATACTTGCTAGACCGCCCTTCCCTGCAAGCAGGGCTCAGGGCGGCTTACAACAAAAACAGATAACAATAAATAATACAGTTAAAACCAATGATAAACTACCTATATCAAGAAATTAAAAAAAAATACACTTCTCAAGATGGCGGAAGAGATTTTAAATTCCACAAGCCGGCTGGAGGGGAAGGGGGATGCGGAGGGTGTGTGTGTGTGTGTGTGTGTGTGAGAGAGAGAGAGAGGGTGCCAGATTTTATATCGTCCTGTTGTTGTCCTCAACCGAATGCCTGGTGGAACATCTCTGCCTTGCGTGCCCTGCGGAAAGATAGTAAACCCCGCAGGGCACGGATATTCTCAGGCAGAGAGTTCCACCCTAGTTGAGGACAGCTGGATCTCTCTCAGGCTGGGGACCACCAGAAAGTTCTTATTCCCAGAGCGTAACACTCTTTGGGGGGCATTTTGAGAGAGGGGGTCCCAAAGGTATGGGAGTCCGTGACGGCGAAGGGTCTTGTTTTTCTGCTGATGATCATGTGACTTCGCAGTGAACCAGCTTGGTGGCTGTGGTCCTGGGCTAACGTCTTCAGGCAAAATGATGAAAGATATTTTTCATAGTACTTGTAAGTGGTGCCCTGTTGGTGGTCAGGGGCCCAAGATTCAAGAGAAATCTGCATATTTGTGTGTTCACCTTGATAGTATTTATCTCCAGCAGAAAAGAATAAGGTAAAACCTGCCTCCACCCCATTTTCCTCCACTTAATATCACAGCACGTGTCATCTTAGTATCATACGTGTGTTAGTATTGTGAGCGCACATATTCTGAAGATGACATGGAACTTTGGAGAGTCTGCTGAATTCTACAACTCCACTGTGCAGTCCTTGGTTTGAGCTTTCAGTCAGAAGTATGCTGTTCAGCTTTCCTTTGTGGTCCTAAGGTGACCACATGGAAACCTGAACTAATGCTAACTTGGATATTTAGTCGCCCTTGCATGTGACCCAGTTTCCATGACAGTACTGTGACATCAGTCACAAGCACCATATTTTGTCATTAATTTTCTGAATACAGTGGTAGGAGTCCGCATTGTGCCTTGGTCTGTGGTGCTGTTAAAGAAGCACCACAGAAACCTGAAGAAGATGAAACAAAGAAAATCCAAGTAGTTATTGAGTTTCTTTTAATAGAATCTTTTCTTACTAAGCCTTAGAAACGGGATTATAAAGAAGTTTATAGTATGTAAACCCTGTGCTGAAATTCACAAGGTAGGGATAAAAAGCTCACCAAAAAGCTCATTAAGTTAATGATATTATATAAAACAGAGGTGTCAGATTCATTTTGTTATGAGGGCCGGATCTGACATAAATGTCACTTTGTTGGGCCGGGCCATATGTGCCATAGAATGTAATGCCAGGTACCAGAGATATAAACACAGGCAAGTCCAATTAATTATATTATTTTTTACTCAAAATAAAAACATGCTTAAAACATTACAATTCTTGCAGTATTTCCTTACATTATAGCCATGATGTCCACCCTGCCACTTCTGCTGCCTGTTATGCATTAGCACAGGGACAGTGTACGGAGACCTAATGCATAGCCTCTGTCATCTGGCAATAAATGTAATCAGTTGCTTGTGGGCTGCATAAGAGCCCTCGGATGGGCCGGTTCTGGCCCGCAGGCTGTGTGTTTGACACCCCTGAAAAAGTTGGGGGGGTAGAGACTTTGATGAAGAGGTGTGTGTGTTCATGTGATTGTGTATTCAGTCATCTATGATACTATGATTATAAATCATTCCATGACACTGAATTAAATAGAAACAAGGTGTCTTCTCCATAGACTTAACTGGGAAATAAAGGTTTGCCACTGGGTGTCTATATTATTTCTTTGTTTAGAAGACAAAAACAGAGACCTCTCACCCCAGAGGGAATGGGCATATGCTGCTTAGGTCTGTTACTCAGTGGAAAATGGGTCATGATAAAGGCAAAATAGACCATCGATCTAGCAGAAGCACTTTTTGTGGTACTTGCGCACACTCAGAAGCTAGCATGGGGACCTTTAGGCCTTTCTACCTGTAATTGTTGTCCACAATGTCAAAGTATCTGATTTCATGCTAAACATCTTTTTACTCTGTACCCAAATTGAGTCCTGTGCTGGGGAACCCATGGCTATATTTTTCTGTTTCACTGAGCCCATTAAGTGTAATATACCTGCATTGTCTGTGCTTTTTCTCCAAAAGTGAAAAAGTAGTTGTATATATCTGTCCATATACAAAAGTAGTTGTATATATTTGTCCATATAACGTCCATATTTCTTAGTTTACCATCTACTAGAGAGGAATTCAGTATAAAATCTTAATTTAGCAAATAGTGAGAATGTAATAAACTCACATTTTTGGCCTAATAATTGGTTATTTACTTTGTATTTTGCTTCTTTCCCACCATTTCTGTTGTCACTTTTAAAAAGAGCAGAATTAACTTTGCAGTGGAATAGAATCTGATGTGTGGAAGTTTCTATATGCCAAAGAGTTGCTCTTTTTAGTAAACTTGGTAAGATAACACATCCATGCAGTTTCTCACCTTGGAGGCTTATATCAAAACTAGGAATAAGGCCCGTTGTGGAAATAAATACGAGCTCTGGGTTGTTACCCAAAGTGGTTGTGTGGGTTTCCTGAGTCTGTTGGGGAATTAGCCAGGAAACCCAAATAATGCGAGACGGGGTAATCAAGCAGGATCTCTACCTGTGTTTACGGGGATTTTTCCCTCAGTAGAACTCTCAAAATGAACCAGGTTGTGATTAATGAAATGGTTTTTATTAAAGATAATTAAAGAATAAAATCAAAACTTATTAATTGAAAACCACTATATGAACACACATACAAGTTCAGAAATAAGGGTGGTAGTTTACAGAGACAAAGAAGGGAACTTATTCTATGGGACTATATTTACCTATCCAAGGAGCAAAGATCCAAGAAGGAAGATGAACAAAACGAACCAGTGTCTCACAGGGTGCCCAACCTTTTCGGTGGGGGTGTAGGTTAGTGGACATCCAGATACACACACACACACATTACTGAACGTGTGTCTGGTTATACCCCTTGGAACATGACGTGATTGTTCCTAGAACAATGCTGTGATGGTGTGAATGAAACAATGTTGTTTGAGCCAGGAAGCATCATAACGTTCCTAGGAGTTGCAAGTGCAATGTAACATGTGAAATGTCTATTGTGTTTGGTGACCTCTAATTTACCAGAACAAGATAACTATTACAACAAGGATTATGGGATTAAAAATGGTTTTTACTAGGTTTTTACTTAGGATGGTCAGGTAGGGAAATGTCAGGCAAGGTAGGGAATTGATTACATTTACTGTCCTTTTCTGAGAAAAGCAATCTTTAACATTGATGGTTTTAGAGAGGGAAGAGAACTGCCACAAACCAGAGCTTTGCACCTTTAGGATCAGTTTTTCAGACATTCCTCTGGTCAATATTCAATGGTACACATTCCATGTGACTGAGGATCTATTTTGATCTCTTATTTGCAGACCAGGGATGAGTCTTGAATGATTGACCCTGTGAGATGCTAAGAGAGGGAAGGTTGCTTGTGTCACCTGTTTATAGGTACTAAGCTCATCCTTCCAAGTGAGGAGGGGGTCGAGGCCTAACAGGGTGGATGCTCTGACCTTGGGAACTTAGCATCAATTTGCTGTAGTGACCTCAGCAGGGTATAATGACACAGAATTTGCTGTTTACTCCAGGGGAACTGATCTCTGCCATTTGAAGAGCAGTTGTAATTCTGAGTGATCTCCATCCTCCATCCCTCAAATCTCCAGGATTTCCCAACCCAGAGGTGGCAACCCTATTTCCGTCCCAGCCAACCATCAATGTACCGTTATCTGCCCCTCTTCTTTATGACACCTATATGTAGGGATTCTGGTGACTAGTCTACATTCGTTGGAGAAAGTACAATCTAAATTCCTTCGATCCATCTTACAAGTTCCACTGAATGTCTTCAATTCTTTACTTCGATTGGAAACCGGACAAATAAAAATTGAAGCAAGAATTTTTCTTGCCTCAGCATTCTCCTGGCTTAGGTTACATAAAAATGAAAAAGGTTTATTCCCTCTAATAGCTCAGGAGCAGTACCAATCCAAATGGATACATTTGACGGAGGGTAACTTAAAATGTATAGGTCTTAATGATCTGTTGATCCAAAATATTAATGCTGCTGCCCCTCTGACTTCAGGTTTCTATCCCTTCCTCCCTCCCTGTAGCCTCTACCTAGGAAAACTACAGTCTTTCTCCACAGTGGGGACCAAGCAACCTCAGCAGGGTATGACACAGAGTCCACCCTGCAAAGCAGCTGTTTTCTCCAAGGAAAGTGATCTCTAGCCCTCACCTGGAGATTGGCAGCAATAGTCCCCCAGGAGGAAATGGCTGGTTTGGAGGATGGAGTCTATGGCCTCTTCAGGCTCCACCCCTCAAATCTCCAGGAATTTCCCAGCCAACCATCAACCTACTGTTATCTGCCCCTGATCTCTACCATCTGGAGAGCAGTTTTAATTCTGTGATCTCCAATCCCTCACCTGGAGATTGCAGCAATGGGTTCCTCAGGAGGAAAAATAGTCTTTCTTTACAGTGGAGCCCAAAGCAGCTTACATCATTCTCCTCTCCCCCTTTTGATCTGCACAAAACCCCTGTGAGGTAGGTTAGGCTGAAAGTCTGTAACTGGTCCAAAATCACCCACAGCAAGATCCTGGGTCTGGCAGACCCTGCTCTAAAGTGCTAACTGCAATGCTTAGGGTAGCCAATCTCCATGTGGAGCCTGAAGATTGCTGGGTATCACAACTGAACTCCAGAAAACAGATCTCTCTCCCCCGGAGAAAATAACTGCTTTGGAGGGTGGGCTATATGGCATTCTATACAACTGAGGCCTCTCATCTCCCCAAACTCTGGCTTCCATAGATTCTACCACAGAATATCCAGGAATTTCCCAACCTGGAGCTGGCAACCGTAGTCAGGACTGGCCCCAATGAGAAGGCCTGGAAAGCACCTTCTGCCTTTGCCTTTTTACTGGCAGAACCAAGCATGGTTGTCTAGCAACAGCCACTGAGGGAAAAGTTAGTCCCACAGGAGCCAAGAAGGAGAAGTGTCTTTGTCAGGAGAGACAGCCATTTTGATAGTTTATTCTGTGAGAGAAGAGTGTCCAGGCTGACAGTGGGTGGGGGAAAGGGGCGGTCACTCTTGAGTGGCGGTTGATGGGCCAATGGCTGATGGAACACACTTCACAGCCAGTGTGAGAGCTGGAAATGGCCAATATGTAACTGAATTATATGTATAGGATACTTAAGGTAAATGTTAGATCTGAAAATCAGGAAAGGCACATGTCTTCCACATGTGGTGGTGGGAATTCTGCAGAGCTCAGATCTTTTGGTATATGATAGTATATCTCATTGTGTTAGAGGTCTTAAAGGTTGATTTCCCCTTCATATTCAGGAGCTTTCTGCTAATTACACTGTAATGACAGGCAACCCAGCCCAAGAACTGGTGCTTAACCTGTAGGTAGCAGCAGGAACACTTTTTGTATGCTACTGGAAATCTCAGTCTGTCCCCAGCAAGAACGACTGGTTATTAAACATTTGGGACATGATGAAAATGATAGCACTAAGAAGATAGGCTTTTGGACCAAATATTGGTAGCCTCCTCTAAATTATATGTAGAGAGAATACTTGCATTATTGTTCATAATGTTAATATTGTTTGTAATGGTTAATATTATGAGTAATTTTTGACTGTTTTATGATTATACTTAGAATGGATTATCTATATATTTAAATCTTTAAAAAAGAATTATGATGTGCATATGGAGATCTCTTGGTCATAAAGCCTTCCCCATTCACTTAAGTTTCCTTCTTTGAAATAAATGGAAAACCTCCACACACACACACACACATCTGGGGATTCAGTTCAGCGGCACTGATTTTAAAAGTCCAGTCTTGTGGAACCAAGGAGATGAGTGAAGCAGAGATGGATGAAATACTGGAATAGCTTGAAAACAAGACTTTGTTCAAAAAATTGCTTTAGAAGGGGGGGGGGGGATTTTCACCTTAGACAAAGCTACCCAAATTCTGTAGCTCACAGGCTGTACCGGAGTGGGGGGTGCCCCTTCTGCTCTACGGTGTACTTGCAGAGAGGCAAAAAAGCCTGACTCCATCTGCTGGGTTTTACGGGCTGGAAGCGCTGGTGGATGCTCCCTCTTTCTCTGTGCTTGCTTTCTTGGCCCTGCACAACCAAGTTGTCAGGCACAGTCTCTTCCTTTATGCCTTCTGGCTTGGCCAGAAACCATGGAAGGAGAGAGAGGTTGCTCTCTGGCCTGGATTGGGAGGCAGTGCCAGCAGCCGTAGTTGGCTGTGGCCGCAGAGCCTGCAGGAGCTGAGAAGATAGAGCCAGAAGGACACCTCATGTTGGCTGGCTGACCTTTTTTAGGGACAGGGTATCTGCTTGTATGTATAGCTGCCTTTTTTAGGAGGTCGACTTACATTCAGAGTCATCTTTCTTGTTTCATAAATACAGTAAATATTGGTGTATTTGACTTTGATTTTTTGATTTTTAGTGTATATTGGAAACCATATTGTAGATAAAATTGCAGATAAGAGTAAACGAAACCATACGTCATTGCAAAAGAAAAAAGAAAAGCAGGAATCCTTTCTTTCCCAGTAACAACGGAATAGTGACTTTTTGCCCTTGCATGTTCTCACAGCTGTTGTCAATATACACTTTGTAGATAGCTTCTGAAGTAACTCTCCTCTCTCTTTTTGTTCTTGTTTTTGCAGAGATATAGAACTAACCCATACTGCTGTAGCCTGTGCAAGTTTTCGTCAAAATTTCTTACTTCTTTCAAAAACCACCTGAACCGTTACCATGAAGATGAAATTGACCAAGAATTAGTTGTCCCCTGTCCTGAATGCGCATTTGCTTCTCACGCCAAAACAGTGGGGAAACATCTTCGGATGTTTCACTCGAAGAAAAAAATACAAAACTATAACGTGAGTGGAGGCATGAGGCAGTTCCGCAGCGATGCAGTGAACTTCATCTGTCAGAAATGTCAGTTTACAGACACGTTGTATTACAATACAAAGAAACACGTGCTGGTAACCCACTTCCCAAATCTCATCAACACCTATTTTGAGGACAGGATCGATGAGACCGAGGAGAATTTTACGGATCACTACTGTAAGAAATGCAATGCTTTTGCTAACAGCCGGGATTCTTTAGTTTATCATGTCTTGACATCCGAAGTGCACAAAGACTTGGAGAATATATTGAGGCCTGTCATTTCAGTACAGCCTAAGAAACCAGGACAAGCAAAGCCGCTGCCTATTGTCAGTATAGCTCCCAAGCCTTGCACAGTTGGAACTAATCCACCCTTAGTATCTACCACTGCCTCAGTGGGCCCAGCTCCTACCACGTCATGCATTCAGCTTTCACTTCCGCCAGCCAATCAGAATCAAGCGCTGGCACCAACAAAAACAGGTCAAAATACAGGTGGACCATTGAGCGTTTCAAGTGCCTCCAGCAGCATTCAGTGTACATCCTCTCCAACTTCAGTGGCTCAGTCACATGTTACACTTATGTCTGCTCCTGGCCCAGGAGGTCAGAATAATGTTTCTCTTCAGCCTGCAGCTTCCCAGCCGGTCTTTGTTTCCCCTCGGCTTCCCGTAAAGCAGCCTGTGAGACCTGGGGTTTTTTGCCTGAACCAGCCTGCTGGCACCGTAAGTCAGGGTGTTCCTCCAGGAGTCATTTCGTTCAATCGGCCCATCAGGCCTACTCTGCTTCCTGTTAATCAGACGGTTAGGACTATCAGCAGTCCAGTTATGCCTGGGGCTCTCCCCGTGACCCAGCCAGCTGGGTCTCTAAATAGACCCCTTGGGGCTAGTGCTGTTCCAATAAACAGTCCTTGCATGCCTGGGGTCCTGGCTGCAAATAGACCTGTTGGCACTCTGAATCAACCCAACAGTCCTGGGATTCTTCCAGTGACCCAGACGATCACATCAGGGGTTCTTCAGTTCAACCATCCTGTTGCACCAGGGGTTCTTCCTGTAAACCAGTCAGTCGGACCGGGGATTCTTCAGTTTAATCAGCCTGTTGTACCAGGAGTCCTGCCTGTCAATCAGTCTGTCCGCCCTGGAGTTTCTCAAAACGCTACTTTACTCACTGCTGGACCTGTACTCAGACAGTTAATTCCTACTGGGAAGCAAGTTAACGGGATCCCTACATACACCCTTGCACCGGTTTCAGTTGCTTTGCCTGTGCCACCTGGTAGTGGGGTGACGACAGTTGCACCACCTCAAGTGCCCGTTCAGCTGATGCAATCTGGCGCGGTTAATCAGCTGCCTCAGCCTCCAGCTACTGTGCCTTCTCCTGTTATCGTAACTTCTTCTACAAATACCCCTGCCAAGAAGACATCTGCTTCTCGAATGAGTCTAGCTCTTAAACAGGCAAAGCAGTGGAAGACCTGCCCCGTTTGCAGTGAGCTTTTCCCATCAAATGTCTATCAGGTGCACATGCAAGTAGCTCACAGGTTCAATCTGCTTCAGAAAAAGGTAACTCCGGGATCTGACAAAGTGGCTGCCTGTGCTCCTTTTCTACGGTGGCTGAAAGATAAAACAGTGAGATGTTTTTCTTGCAGATGTTTCCTTTCTGAGACAGAGCTCATAAAACATTCGTTCACACATGGGTTAGCGTGCCTGTTTTGCACCAGTACTTTCCATGACTTAAAATGCCTTGTAGATCACACCAGAAATGTACATAAAGGGAAGAAGAAGCTGCATGCTGATTACGATGACAAAGGATTTCAGCTGGAGAGTGATTCTGAAGGTGACCTCATGTTTCCTCACTTTGACTACAATATCCCATCATCAAAAGAAGACCTTGGCGAAAGAGAAGTGCACCTAGCGGTACTTGCTGGGGTAAATTCAAGGACACTGATTCCTCTGTACATAAGACTGCAGCTTGAGACTGCTGAAACAAATAAGAGTAATAAGAAAGTCTCAACTTGCCCTTTTTGTTATGGAACTTTTACTGGCACCGGAGCCTATGAGATCCATTTGAAGGAGAGGCACCACATCATGCCAACTGTGCATACTATTCTGAAGACTCCGGCTTTCAAGTGCATCCACTGCTGTGGAGTGTACACTGGCAACATGACTCTTACAGCTATTGCTGTGCACTTGCTTCGCTGTCGGAGTGCTCCCAAAGACAGCAATTCGACTGTGAAAATGGAGCTGGAAAACAATGAGAAGAAAGATCTGCCACTTGTGAACGGTGAAAAGCATGATGCTGTGACTCTTCCAACTAAGAGGAAACAGTCTGATCATCTTTATGCTGTTACAGAGGAGGAGGACGATGACGAGGAGCCGTCCCTGATTATCAATAGTGGTACAGCCCAAGTTCCATTAAAGGAGATGAATTTTATGCCTTCCAAACGACAAAAGACTGATAATAAGACTGAAACAAAGGGCCAGCCTTCGGTGGATGATCTTCAGGTTTTAGCATTAAATCCAAAGCCATTCCAGCATAGCTCCAATGATGTTCAAAAACGTTTTCTTGCAGATTACTTTCATAAGAGGCCGTATCCCACTAAAAAGGAGCTAGAACTATTATCTTCTGGTCTGGGTGCATGGAAAGTTGATGTTGCATCCTTTTTTGGGAGAAAGAGACATACATGTCTAAAGTCAATAAAAACTCTCAAGCCATCTGTGCTTTTGGGCTTCAGTATGTCTGAACTTAAAATCGTAAAGCACAGATTGAGCTTAAAAGGTGAAACAGAAGATCTGTAATTTAAAAAAACAAGGCAGTCAAGATTGCATACAACTTTGTTCAACAGTTGTCTTATTTGGTTCAGTTTCTTGTGACTTATTAAAAGATTAGTATGCAGTGCCTCGTTCATTTTGGGCAATTCTTCATTGTGGCAGTAGGGGTACAGTATAGTATACCTGAGGCTTTGTACTTTGGTTTAATATTTTTTGTTTATGGAGTAGTTTTCTCCATCATGGTTTTTTATATGACTGTGTCACAAATTCCCCGTTTTGTTTTTTGCTTAGTACCTATTGTTTCTGAAATAAAATGTATTGCTTCGGTAAAATATCAAAACAGATTTAGATTGTGATAATAAATTACCTTCTCCTAAAATTAAGATGGTTACTTCTAACTCGGTGTTTATATTGCTTTTCAAAAAACTATCTAGATGAGAGCGGTAACAAATTTAACAACCTGATAATCAAATGCACTGTTGGCACCCTGTAGATGGAATGGTAAAGATCAGGCAGGGCTGTTCAAGTACTGTTTATAAACTTTTTCTTTAGTAGCAAGGTGTTGAATTGGAAAAATTTGCCTTGCTGGAAAATTTAGTTTAATATTGCTTTTGTTTTTTTGTAATGCTGGTTCTGTTCTCTAACATAGGCTGCGCTTTGTTGAAATGTCAAAAGGAATTCTGGGGGGGGGGGGTTTGCTATAGTTTGAGTCAAAAAGCAGTATCGGTTTTCCTGAAGTTTCAGATTTTGTTTTCCAACTATTACTTTGGTGCAAGTAAGCAGTCGCCAAATCCTTAGCAGGCTGCAGTGCCTAAATAGGGATCCTTTAATGTGGTGTCATCTCTGGCAAGGCGTTCTCTGTTGGTGTTCAGTACCATTCCGGGAAGAAGCTGGCCTGCACCTGCTAGTCCCGAACTGTCCTGTCAATATGCTGGCAAATGTTTCAGTGCAGAATCTGTAATAACTGCTTAACACTTCTCCTCCTGGCTAGGCTATTTGCATTTGGAGAAAGGAATAAAAGTCAACTTCAGCAGTCCCAACACAGGAACATTTTTCATTGGCCATCCTGCCTGGTATGTAACATCTGCGGTCTGATTAGGATGATGTGAAACGTGCTTGAGAAGATGTATGTGTGTTGCTCAACTTTTTCCTTTACTAATCCAAATGCTGTTGCAGAACCTTGAGCATAGTTAAATCTGTTTTAATTTGCCATGGTATTTGAATCAGTGCTGAATGACGGGTATATAATACCTTCGTTACAGCAGCTAAATTACCATTGGATGCATTGCCCTGCCACATGATAGCCTCATCTGAACTTAGGGCAGGAGACTGGATAGATAGCGTGTGCATTCCTTTACAAAACAAAACAGGTCTCTGAAATCTGTAACTTCTTTTGTAACTGCTGTTTTGACTTCGAATTAATTTTATTTGGGGGGCAGTGTATGTTTTTGGTATTTTTTGAATCCGAGGAGACTATTGTTAACCCTACTATAAGATCAGTGACATTAATTCAGCTTGAACACGACATACTGTTACACTACCGTAGGATCAACAATGAGGAAAATTATGTATTTGATGTGCTGGTTGTTTCTAGTTATTAACAAATCTCTTCTACAGCAAGAGACATTATTTTATTTTGATGAAACTGTATGTAAATATTCTGTACATAATATTAAGCAGTTACATTGCAAGCTGTTACATTTCTATAAATGTCAGAAAATTTTAAGAGGGGCTTTGGTTTGGTTTATGTTCTTTCAATGCAGCCTTGCTGGCTGGTGAAAAGGAAAAGGACCGGATAAGGGGCCCTGTAGTTCTTCTGTCTGTGGAGCAGCTGCATTTAGATTGGTCACATCCTCTGCATCAGCATTGGTGGAGATCATGGAGGGGGGGTTAGAATGGGGGATACTTTACTGTAACCAAGAGGGAGAGGTCTGATTAGTACCACTTGCCCACATATGCAAAAACGGTCTCAGGAAGCAGGGTACTTTTCTTTCCTGCCCTCCTTCCTTGCAGGAGCGTTAGAATAACTGTTACGATACAAGCAGCTTAGTATTAATTAAAACAATTTAGAAAAGTAAAAGTCAATATTTAGGCCTGTTTTAGTCTTAAAGTTCCATAGAACGTATTTGGCCTACCGCCAAAAGGCTGCTTTAGATAGGTTCTGGACTCTTCTTTCTTTATGCTTCCACTGCCCCCTTGTTTGTAATCAACGCCCCCCCCCCCCTTGCACCCAAGGCTCCACCTGCCCCCGGATCGTTTCAGCACCCTCGGGGGGTGGTATTGCCCACTTTGGGAACCAGTGGCACGCTGGAAGTAGGCACAAAACAAAAATAGTTGCATGTAGCAACATCTTCAAGCAGAAATGTTTTTGTTCTTAAACTCAGGACAGAACAAAATGCAGGTTATCTGATCAGTTGAGATGGAACTTCCTTCTGTGTGGCTGGGCCAAGACTGTGAGCATGTCACAATGTTTTTAAAAAAAATGTGAAGTGGAAGAGTACTTGTCCTGGGGCAGTGTTCAAGGAATTCTAGATGAATTATAAATTCCAGTAGGCTAGCTTGCTTTGCCCCTTGCAGCCATAAGAACATGTATGTACTACAGCAAAAAAAATCTGCTAAAGCCAACTGTGTTGGTCTGTAAGGTGCCCCAGGCTTCCTTTTGCTCACACAGCTATGACCTGCCAAAAATAGAAATGAATACAATTTGTGCAACAGACAAGATTGTGTGTTCTTCACTGCTTTTTCGTTTACAGGAAGGGAACGAAGCAGTAAGTGGCTGTACTTTATGGATATCTTAAATGTAATTCTAAACCTAGCTCTTAGTTTGCGGATCAAACCATCCTCACAATGAGGCCAGATATGGAGAGGTTTGTGCCCGCTTACAAATTCAGAAAAGCTCCGTATTTGAAGGGGGGGGTATAAGAAAGAAAATATTTTAAAATAAGGCTGGACTTACCTATTCCCCCTGCCCAACAACTGATATTAATTGGATGTGAGCAGATGATAACATGAAGAAAGAAATGGAAAAATGGAGTTGGAAGCAGTAGGGGGGACACATGACCAAGAGTACTGAGAAGGGAGTGAATGTGGAGAAATGTTTGTGTGACTGTCGGAGGGCAGGAACAAAAACGCATGCCCTGAGACAGCAAAAAGCATGCAATGGAGTGTGTGTGATGGCAAGTGTGTGAATGGAACTCTTTTTCGGGGGTGGGGTATGAGAGAGAAGATCGAACTAAGGAAGAAGAGCACCTAGGGTAAGGGGAGGAATAAGAAGGCCCGTACTAGGACAATTCGGGGGGGGGGGGCTGTATGGTACCATGAGGAGTAAACAAAACACCCCACCCCCAATCCTTGTAGATCCTGTTAGATTTTTACTAATGTGACAGTGACAATATCCTAAAAGAAAACTGGCAGGGCCACTTCCGCATGCATTCTGCCAAAACGTGTGTGCAGAGGCAGTTCATCCCAGGACGTATCTAAGTGGATAGTGAGATGGCATATGCACTGGGGGAGAAGACCAGGCCTGAGCTCTTCTCCCTGCTAATTTTGTGTGTGGTGGGGACAATTTGACAGAGAAATGGTAGACATTTAGAGAAGTGGTTAGGGCATTGGACTACTCTAGAGGCAATTTTGGGCTGCCAAATGGTTTGTGTTCTGTAATGCTGTAACCTTTCTTAAACTCGTTTTTCTTCCAGCAACCTGGTGATATACAATCCAGGCAGCAGTGAAGGTGCTGATGTACTGATGATCCCATTTAAATCAACTTTGACTACTGTAGCTGTACCAAAAACCTCAGAATAATCCAGTTGCTTAAAATATGCATTGTCATCTTGTATCCTAGTGTTAGTTTCCAAAGATGAAAGGGAATGTCTGTCACGTGTGTGAAATTCACCTTCTGGTTCCAGACCTTTCCCCTTTGCTCCATATCTTGTGGATGAGGGTCTGTTGACCCCCTACCAAACAAAAGCTCGGGTAGAACAAGGGGACACGTATTCCATCCTGGATCTATTAGGATAAAAGTGGTTACCTTTTCATGTGTGGGTTGCAGTCAATTCACAGAAAGTCCTCATGGCTGTCACAAGGATTTCAGTTCACACACACTACAAATTGTGTGCTTCCTGGGTGCACAAAGGTTTATATTGGGATTGTGATACACATGGATAATGAACTCCTGCCTTTTCCCTGTGGCACTTTACAGCCGGAAAAAGTGCCGAATTGTAGAACTCTGTTGGTTGAGCTTGTCTGATTCTCATGCTAGCTAAATGCTCTGTTAGTATTTTCAAGTACCATATTTCTGAGAGTGGAGGTTTTCCAGTAGAAGTTAATGGTGCATAAATTTTAATGTGCTTGCGTCTGTTAGCACCAAAAGCATTGAATTTCTCCCTTTGGATGGCACTATGCCATCTCTGACCCTGGGTAGCTCAGGCTGGTCAGAATCTCGGAAGCTAGGCAGAGTCAGTCCTGGTTAGTATGCAGATGGGAGACAACCAAGGAGGTCTGCAGTTGCTATGGAACCACCTCTGAAGGTCTCTTGCCTTGAAAGCCCTATGGGGCTACCATAAGTCAACCATGACTTAAACAAAAAGAAAGAAAACCCCATTTGTGTCTGTTCTATCCATACACCAGCTGGCTATGGCTGTAGCAAGCATTTTTTTGTTTTCTGTTAAGTAAAAATGCTAGCATCCAACTAAACTGTGGTAACTTTGGTTCCAGAACAGTCACTGCATCAACTTAACATTCTGTTGTTACATCTAACCTGGATGCAAAGAGATAAAAGGCTAGGCAAAGTAGTCTTTCCCCCCTGCTTGATTAACTGTATTCCTCCCCCATCTCAATAGGGGAGACCAGACGGCTTGGGGGTCAGCAGCCTCCAACCAGTTCACTCCCTGGAACTGAGTCCTGGCTTGGACCCAGAGCCCCAGCAGCGTTCTTAATAGCCACCAGCTTAGAATGTAGAACCTGCAGCCTGTTCACCCACAAATCCTGTTCTGCAGGGGACAGACTCCCAAAGGACAAAAGCAATTCAGTTTCCACCATCTCATCTAAAGTAGCTGAAAGAGGTGGCAACTGCTGGTCACTCCCCCCCCCCCTTTGTTGGGGGTCAGCATATCCCTGCAGCAAATCAAGCTTTGGGGCTAAAGTGCTGTCTCAGCTTTTATATGGTGTGGCAGTTTGGATTACCAGAGTGGATAGTTCTATTGATCGACCTTTTGAGCCTTGCCTTTGGGAAAAAAAGAGAGTTCCTTGTGTGGCCTCTGCGGTTCTCTTGACTGGAACTGGTCTTGGGATCCGTGGAATGCTAAGCTTAGAAGCTGGCTTTTCACTTTTATTTGAAGGTCTTGTATTCTGAAGGTAATACTTTTTTCTCGCTTTTATCATCAGATCTTTTATGTTTCACATTGGCAACCCAATCTTGAATCCAAACTTTCTTTTTTAGGGCTGTCCCCTTCACTCTTCCTTTCTATTGGCCCTATTGCTAGACAATCCTTAGACAGAGCACTTGGAGGCACTAGACCCCCAGTTGGCTTTTAGCAGGGCTTGTAGATTATGCTCTGCACTGTTTCTTGGTATTGTGCCCCTCATACTGTTTCATCTTATTTTTATCAACTGTCTCAAAATATCGGAGGGCTTTTCTTTTGGTTAGTCTAACTGCTTTATGCTCTGCTATTTTGGTGGGTAGATTCCAGGAAGTACCCTACTCAAATTATGTGCACCTGGGTCTGGATCAGTTGAAACTTTATCCCATATTTTCTTCAACTGTGTATTGACTGCCCCATTATGAGATCTGTGAATACAACTGGTGATAGACTCCAAGGTTTCCCTTGTTTCTCTGCCTTTTATGCTCACTGATACAAATCCTGGTATTACTTTGCTTATGGCTAAATCTTTGGCAGCTGTGGCTTCTACATGGGGATGGAAATTGAGCATGGTATTTGTAAGACTGGTTCTGTCCAAGACTGCTGGGTCAGTGGATTGTTAAAGAAAGCTATATTGAAGAACTGAAAAGGGCATGACTAGAGGTAAGAAAAAGCAAAATGATGAAAACTATTCCATGATTACAAGGATTAACAATACTTAACCAAAAGATCAGTTACAGCAGTAGGAACAAGAAAAGAAGGATGAGCATATAACAATATGATTGTAAATTATCAGCTTGTGCTGTAAACAAAGTGAGCACATAAACAAGAAAAATAACTTAAAAGAACAGGAACTCATGGAACCTGAGAGAAAAGGCAATAGAACTATTGTGACAAACATTAAAAAAGTGAGAAAAATGAGTGAAACATACAACACAGCAGACCAGAAAGCAAAGTCAACAGTGCCAAATACTGAAGAAAATTATTTCCTCCCACTTCCCAATGTCGGCAGCTTTCTTTGAAACAAGTACTTTATAGTTTTAAGGTTTGAAATAAAGGCATCATAAATACAAGGAATCTGATGTACGTAAAGTTTTAATTAAATTTTCCATTACAAGAGCTTTGGTCATTTTACAAAAGTTTTCACCAAAGGGGACCTGAGACCAGTAGCCCCTAAAATGTCACAGCAGTTAGTGCATATAGCTGTTTTCTTTTGCAGCAATTGAAAGATACTTTCACTCCTCCCTGTTCAAATACAGTGTATTTCTCAAGATGCTGAACAGATTCCAGACCTATTCATTAAGGACATTAATGCATAGTTTTGGTCCTATTGCACTTAAATAACCACAGAACATTTTATTTTAAAAAAATCCTGTCGTATGTGAATTCATAATAGCAGCAGCAAAATCCAAAACAAGATAGAAAATGTGCATTTGATCTTATCTTTGTTCTTTCTAGTAAAATTATTTCTCTCTAACTGCAGATGGATCTGTACATTTCAAGACTCCTAATTCCCAAGTTAAACAAAAAGTATACATTTTGTTCAAAAATTTGTTGTTCATAGGCTGATCCAACCCCCTGCCTTCAGGCTTCGAGGGAGGACAGGGTATAAAAACCTGTTGCTTACACTTGTCTGCCCGCCGACTTACAGCCACAGATGAGCTCTCCCTTCCTTGCAAGGATCCACTTTTCCCCCCTTGGAAAGATACAAGGGGTAGGTGTTTGGCAGCAGTAGGTTATTCAAGGAAAACAATATCTCAGTGTTTCCTTCCTTGCCCTAGCATTACATACACAGGGGAAGCAAGAGTTAGTTTTCCCAGCAGGTTACTGGGGTGGGCCTGTGTACAGATGTGCTTAACTCCGTCTTTCCTCAGAAGTGGCTTATAACTTGCTCATCAAGAGTATATAGGTTATACTTTGGGTAACAATGGAAAACCCATGTATTTTATACAAAACAAAGCCGAAATATGTCTGTGGCACACAGAATGTGAGCAGGCCATAGTTTTCAAAGACATGCACCCTAAAAGACCACCATGCGGTCTGCCCACTGATAACACTATTTTTAGAGCATTACTGTCTGTTAAATCACATATTATGTTTCACTCATGGAGGGAAAGTAGTCTTCAGTCTTGAAGAGGTCAGGAGGTTCATAAAGGCTTTGCTTCGGCCTTAAGGATGATGGTTTCTGTAATTAGAAATCCATATGTTAAAATGTACACTTGCTAACTTGTTCTGTTGTGTGAAAGTATTTTAACACCTATATTTTTTTTCACCAACTCTAAAAGGAAACAGTCTTTTAAAACTTAGGTGCCTTCATTCTTTCCAAAGCTTGAGAATACCTATTTGTTACACAAGAGAAACCCAGACAGGTGGAGGATGGCATAAAATATCAGAGGCAGGACTATTTCAGTATTTATCAGTGTACAATCAGGGATATAAAACTTCACTCTTGAAGCACAAGGTATCTAGATGGGACATGAAAATGAATTGATAAGAATGGAACTGAAGCCCTGCATTTCTCAAGGAAGCAGCAATCTTTTCAATCTTCCTTTGTGCTCTCTGAGGCTGCAAGGTACTGTGACTTTCTGCTGTGGAAAGGGGCAAAATGCTAGGCAAGCATGTTCAAAGGCGGAAACTTGGGCAATGCAGGATTTGTATGTGTTAATGAAAGCAGTCTACATGACTTCCTGTACTCACCTACAGTTATGAAAATTGTTCAGTCTACATTTTTACGTGATACAAGATTACACAGGAAAGTTCAGTCTAAGAAGCATTTTAGTTCCTATTCAGTTTATTAAGAAGCCCCATAGACTAGGTCTGTCCTTTCTGAGAAGATGATCTCTTTTTTACCAATTCACAGTTAAGGTTTTGTTCTCTCTAATAAAAATGGAAACAGTAGTTATGTTCTGCAGAGAGTTCAGACTAACTAAACGATAGTATCCAACATAAATTTTCCTCCCCATGAGTACAAAGGAAAGGAGCTACCCCCGAGCCGTCAGAATCCAAGGAAGGAGGCCATATCGTGTTGGCATGTTTCAGACTCATCTCTTTTTTAATATAAGTACACAGTTCTCCATTTGTGTATTACTAGGCCCATCCAGGCATATCAACACATACGGAGAGATTTCACTTTCCACACTTGCAATAATTAACTCAGGATTTGCATGGAACTGATGACATTTAACTGGTTCCACAAGACTGACTGCTCAGCTTACAAAAGCTTCAGATTTGGTTGCTTTCCTACACAAGTTCTTTCTAATAAACAATGTGTTTTATATACTTGATGAAGAAGACTTACATTAAGAAAGGATGGCACATTGATTGTATGTAAAAGTTTTTTGAAAGTACTGGGGAAAGTTCCAAGGTCCGCTTCTGCCTTTGTGATGTGTTCCTCCATTCCAGCCACATTATTTCCAACCATTTTTACGAAGGCCTGGTTGAAAAAATTAAACCAAACAGATTAGGAATGAACATGTCTAAGCACAGAAGAGCCCTGAAAACTTTTTCTAGTCAGAATTTCTATGTGGTGTTTACAGAGCAAGTACATATTAATTGTTTTTGAAAAGAGTACTGGCACTTAAGTGTGCATTTACATTAAATACAATGGACACAATCCAGTTTAGGCTCAATTCAGACATCCTAAATAAGTCTCAGTTTGATAGTGATGGGCAAGAATCTGGCTAGATCAAAGACAGAAATCCTCTACCAACTCCAATTAGTTATGACATCCAAATATGGGCACTTAATAATCAACTAAGGTTAGTTTCTTTCCCAGTAACCAGGATTCTTAACCACAGTTTAACTGATTAAGAATTCCAGCTACGTGGAAAGAACCTAACATCAGTGAAGAATTTGGATGTCAAGACTAATGGGAGTTCATTAAAAAGTTAGCATCTTTAGTCTCCAAATGCCGCATGAAGGACAGAAGAGATGTGCAAGCTTGTGATTCAATCTAGCCTTGAATTTAAATCCATAAAACTCAATGCATTTTAAGTCTGCACTGTACTGTGGCAATGCACCTAGATTTTTCATATTTATAACAACTTCATTTAGTTCAAACACTGAATACCCAGTGGCCCCCAGTGGTTAACAAATTTTCCATTTTATGTCTCAAGGTTTATTTATTTAAGGCATCTTAAACCTACTTTTCTCAAACTCAAGGTGGGTTTTCTACCCTTCTATTACACATTTGCAAAAAGTGATGGTAGTACAGTAGGTGAGAAAGCAAAAGGGAAAAAAGAGCCCCAAGATTTCTTATGTTTAGAACTTCTGAACTCATCTGAAATATTTCAGGAGTGATTCATGATTCTGAACACTGGAATTGACCTAGCAAGCCATTCCTGTGCACTTACTCAGTGCCAAGATCTATTAGACAAAGGCATATTTTTTCTTCCTCACACAAAAGCCACAGTAATCAACAATAAGAAAATGAGTAGCAGCCTTAGAATAAGTGAAAAAGAGAGGAGAGACAGCTGTAGGAAACTACAAGAAGTACTGAGTACCAGAGGCCATACAAAAGGGGGGGAAAGGCAGCTACACTTAACTGTACAAACCAAATGTCAATATATGCTGTGTAAACAATACAATGCAATTAGTGAAAACAGTCCCTATATACAGTGAATGATATAGTGACCATTAAGGTATAGCAATTCAGTGCATGATACAGTAAAGCATAAAAATTGGTAAAGTGTAACAACTGATGGTCTGGGTAATTAAGACACCATTTTGATACCTTCTTCAGAATTGTTTCTCCTGTTGGAGAATGGCCTTGTACAGTTGTTGACTGTATAAAAGACAAGAGTAAAAAAATCTTCATGTATGATGCAACATCTAAGCAGACATTTACAGCAGAAAAAATGACACTGTTTATATCAGCCAATTATACTTCATTATATCATGCACTGTATATAGGGACTGTTTTCACTAATCACACTGGACTGTTTGTACTGTACTGTAATGTTTGCACTGCATATATTAACATTTGGTTTGTACACAGCCTTAGAATAAGGACAGTAAGGTGCCATTTGTCTAATTCAGAGAGCCATGTGCATATCTATTTGCATGTAGGAGATAGGCCAAGGCAGAGGCAGAACAAACATGCATCCAAATATACAACAAACATGGACTGCTCTTGCAGGAAGGTGGCTCTGTGCACATTTTGGAGCTCAAGGGCCTACAAAAGGTAACTAGATCAGGGTTCTTACAAAAGGTAAGGTTATATGCATTCCAGCCCCAACTATGTGAAAATATTGCTACTGGGAATTCATGTAAAAAGAAATTAACATTAGAAATACATACCTCCAGTTTGTCTATCTTTCTATACAGCTGCCTCATTTCCATAGCCTTTGCATGAATATGTGGCACACTTTCATTTACTATTTGAGAGGAGTCACTTCGAATCTGGTGGGAGGTTAAAAAAAATAAAACTTGCCAGATCCATCAGTGACCAAGTTGGCTCAACTTTGGTACATTCTAGAAAATTAATTAAAGTTTGTCTACAATGTCAAACTGAGTAAGCATATACCAGTATGTTGGTTTTACAACTAACTCACAGCATGTTTGTACACGCCAGCAAGCAGATGGGATTCCTCCAACAATAGAATCTAATCTATAAGTGAAGCACAGCTATCACAGATTTGAATAAGGCAGTCTAAAGTCCAGAAGTGAAAGCCAGTCCCTTTTATTCTTTTAATGGGCAGCTACATATCCTTTTTCTAAGGACTGCCTTATAGATTTTGACTTTCCAGGGAAACTGTGAAATGTTTGAAGGACCCGTACATTATTAAAGCAATGATCACAACTCTGATTTACTTCACATTGAGGGGGGAATCCTCAATTTAAATAATTTATAAGGAGGCTGGAGAAGTATTTATTGGGTACCTAGCAGCTACTTTTTAAACTCTTCACCTCTGTTTTAAGGCATAAACAAAGGCATTTTGATTTTAATGGGAGACCCTCAACAATCATCTGAACCGACTGCATTGTTAAAGGAAAATGCTTCATTACACAATGCCTTTCCACACAATGGAATACTTACCATATCTAGCATCCCCACAAACTCATCTACCCTGGTCAGCAAGTCTTCCAGACTCTTGTCTAAGGTTCTGATCTGAACAGAATAAAATGTCAAAAATGGTGGATGTGTTTAAATAACAACGGCAAGCAAAACCGGGACAAGACTAACTTCAGATTATGAAAAGCAGAGGATTACATCAACAGAGAAGAACAACTTTCCTCCCTTGTCTCTGAACAGTTTCAGATAGCTTAGTTGAAGGGAAAACAGACAAACCGGATAAAATGCATTTATTTAGGTATTTATATCCTGTGTTTCTCCCCAACAAGGACCAAAAGCAGATTACACAATTCTCTGTTCCATTTTATCTTCTTCACCATCACCACCCTGTGAAGCTGGTTAGACTAAGGCCAAGCTATTTATTGTGTTTTCTAATAGGTTGGGTCTGGATTCCCTGGCAGTATTCTCTGCATGTATTTCCAAACTGAGGCTAGGAACTCTCCCTTGGGGCTATTCTGTCTTGGGAAAATGGCCCTGGGAGGGCAAGCAGAAGCCCTTCCCCCCATGTGATGGTCCTAATCCAAATGCCTGTGGACCATTAAAAGGATGTTCCCCACTGTGTGACTGCAGGGAACATGAGTAGAGTCTGGGGAACTTGGAACTGACTCCTTAGAAAAGGTGATCTGTAGTTTGGCCCTGAAAGAGCCAACCATCTGCAAAACCATCTTCATCTAACCAGTGTATATGATTCAGGGTGACACACAAAGCTATGAATTAGGATAAAAGTCTTTCTTTTAAATGTTCACAATTGGTGTTGCTTGCTAAGGCAGCCTTTTGAACCAGTTAAATTCTATCTGGATCTCCTGTCTTGCAAGCCCCAGTATAAAAATGCTCAACCAGTTTGACTATGAAAAGCTCTCCTTGCGTCTTCTCACAGAATCACATTTTGGAGTATTACAGTCTCCTTGCAAGTATTAATACTTGCCTGCAAAGACCATCATTTGTCTTTCCCCAGGGAGTGAAGACTTTGTTTGGTTTGGCATACCCCCTAAAAACTGTTTTTGGTGTCACATGCTTATATTTTTACTGCATCATTTCCTATATTATTTTTAATGCTGTTGTATGATGGTCACCTTGGGAACCCCATTTGGGTAGAAAGGCGCAGCGTTTTAAAATAACCATCCAGAAAGGCAGCACTGCAACAGGACTTTTCTCCCCGCTGACTATTTGCATGGGGCCTTTGACAGGAGGGAGCATTCAAAGCAGGACCCTCTCGGGAGGTCTGTAGGTCCAGGAGAAAGCCGTCCCCGTTTTGTTCACTGGGGCTTACTCCCGAGAAAGTGTCCTTGGAGCTGCCACGCCTGCCTGCCCTGACCCCGCCCAGCCTCCCGCGCGCGAACCAGTCGCCCCCACCCCCGTCCCCACCTGCCCAGCCGAGGAGGCTCCGTCCAGCGGCTGCAGCAAGTAGGCGGCGTAGTCGGCCGTCGCCGCCGGCAGCAGTTCTCCTTCTGCCGCCGCTTCCTCGTCGCCGAGGCCGGAGGTGCTGCTGTGACTCTGCGAGACGTTGCCGCTGTCTCCGCTCAGCTGGGACGGCGGCGGAGGCTCCTCCGCGGCAAGAGCGGCCGCCGCGTCCTCTCCCTCGTCCATCTTCCTCCCTGCCCTACTGACGGCCGGCGGGCATCTGGCAGCCGACCGCCTGTCACCTGATGGGAGAGCGGTTTTTGACCCGCGGAGCTTTCCCGCAAAGCCTTCCGCACTACGGAACACCAGCAGGGACAAAACAGGTTAAGGTTTTGGTTGGTTGCCCGTCCTGTCATAGGGGCGGGGCCAAGGCGGCGCGTCACGCGATCACGTCCCGTGGGTGGGGAAGCGAGCCGTTTAACGTTGCGAAACGACCGTCCGCGTGGGGAGGTGTCCCTCTTCTCTGGCTTCCTTGTTCTTATTTTTAAATGCTGTCTTATGACGTCCTTCTAGGGTTGCCGGGTCCCCCCCAGGCCACTGGCGGGGGATGAGAGCCAGTTTGGTGTAGTGGTTAAGTGCGCGGACTCTAATCTGGGAGAACCGGGTTTGACTCCCCACTCCTCCACTTGCACCTGCTGATGTGACCTTGCGTCAGTCACAAGCTCTGGCACAGCTGTCCTTGAAAAAGAGCAGTTTGTGTCAGAGTTCTCTCAGCCCCACCCACCTCACAGGGTGTCTGTTGTGGGGAGGGGAAGGGAGAGGAGTTTGTAAGCCGCTCTGAGACTCCAAGTGAAGGGCGGGGTACAAACCCAATCTCCTCCTCCTCTTCTTCTTCTTCTTAAGGCTCCCAGATCCAGGCTGGGAAACACCTAGAGATTTGAGAGCTGGAGCCTGGGGAGGCCAGGGACCCTCAGTGGGTACAGTCCAGCCTCCAAAGCATCCCTTTTCTCCAGGGGAAGTGATCTCTGTAGGCTGGAGGTGAGCTGCAGTTCTGGGGAATGCACAGGCCCCACCTGGAGGCTGGGGGTTTATTTATTTATTGAATTCTATTTCTAGCCCGCCCTCACCGCAAACGGATGGGTTACAACTTAGGTCACACAAAATAGTGAAAAGTTAGATAATTGATTTAAAAACAATAATAAAAAACAATAACCGCAAAAAGCTCCTTGGTTATGTTCAGTTTAGGCTGATCAGAAACCAGCAATTTGGGGGGGGGGTTCTTCCTTTTTCGGTATCTCAGGTCTCCATGATCAGAGACTTACTTAAATCTGGACCCACAGTGCTTAAGGCAGCAAGCTGGTTTTTAAACCACCCTTTATCTCGAAGAATCGACTTTAGTCCAGCTTTCCTTCAACAGCTTTTCCTTAAAGAGAACATCTTTCTTGCTGCTCCCCACAACATAGAAATCTCATCAGGAATATTTAGGGAGGAGTAATATAGGGAACCCAAACCCTCTGTTAGAAGGGGATGAAGTCAAAGTTTAATGCAAAAGTAAAGCTTGACGTGGTCAAAAATGAGATGGCAAGACTGAACATTGATATCTTAGGAATCAGTGAACTAAAGTGGACCGGAATGGGCAAATTTAACTGAGAAGACCATTATATCTACCACTGTGGCCAGGAATCTCGTAGAAAAAATGGTGTGGCCTTTATAGTCAACAAGAGAGTGCAAAAGTCAGTACTGGGATACAATCTCAAAAATGACAGAATGATTTCTGTCCGATTCCAAGGCAAACCATTCAACATCACAGTAATCCAAGTCTATGCCCCAACCACTGATGCAGAAGAGGCTGAAGTAGACCGGTTCTATGAAGACCTACAACACCTCATAGAACTAACACCAAAAAATGATGTCCTCATCATCATAGGGGACTGGAATGCTAAAGTAGGAAGTCAAAAGGTAACCGGAATAACAGACAAGTTTGGCCTTGGAAAGCAAAATGAAGCAGGGCAAAGGTTAACAGAGTTTTGTCAAGAGAACACACTGGTCATAGCGAACACCCTTTTCCAACAACCTAAGAGACGACTCTACACATGGACATCACCAGATGGGCAACACCGAAATCAGATTGACTATATAATTTGCAGTCAAAGATGGAGAAGCTCTATCCAGTCAGTAAAAACAAGACCTGGAGCTGACTGTGGTTCAGATCATGAGCTACTCATTGCAAAATTCAGACTTAAACTGAAGAAAATCGGGAAAACCATGAGGCCATTCAGGTTTGACCTAGATCACATCCCTGATGAATATACAGTAGAGGTGAAGAATAGATTCAAGGGTCTGGATTTGATAGATAGAGTGCCTGAAGAACTATGGACGGAGGTTCGTGACATTGTACAGGAGGCAGCAATCACCACCATACCAAAGAAAAAGAAATGCAAGAAAGCAAAATGGCTTTCTGATGAGGCTTTACAAATAGCAGAGGAAAGAAGGAAAGCGAAAGGCAAAGGCGAAAAGGAAAGATTTACCCAACTGAACGCAGATTTCCAGAGAACAGCAAGGAGAGATAAGGAGGCCTTCCTGAATGAACAGTGCAAAGTAATAGAGGAAAACAATAGAATGGGAAGGACTAGAGATCTCTTCAAGAAAATTGGAGAAATCAAGGGAGCGTTCCATGCAAAGCTGGCCATGATAAAGGACAAAAACGGTAGGGACCTAACAGAAGCAGAAGAGATTAGGAAAAGATGGCAAGAATACACAGAAGAACTATACAAGAAAGACCTCAATGTCCTTGACAACCACGACGGTATAATAACTGACCTCGAGCCAGACATCCTGGAATGTGAAGTTAAATGGGCCTTAGAAAGCATTACTAACAACAAAGCTAGTGGAGTTGATGGTATTCCAGCTGAGCTATTCAAAGTCTTAAAAGATGATGCTGTTAAAGTGCTGCACTCAATTTGCCAGCAAATTTGGAAAACACAACAGTGGCCACAGGATTGGAAAAGGTCAGTATACATTCCAATCCCAAAGAAGGGCAATGCCAAGGAATGTTCAAACTATCGCACAATTGCACTCATATCACACGCTAGCAAGGTCATGCTCAAGATCCTACAAGCTAGGCTTCAACAGTACATGGATAGAGAACTGTCAGAAGTACAAGCTGGGTTTTGAAGAGGTAGAGGAACTAGAGATCAAATTGCCAACATTTGCTGGACCATTGCGTCCTGTTTTAAACATCCAGTATACTGAATAAGTGGACCAGAGATTTAAGCAGAAAAAATATTTTTTAAAAAATGTGTTTATTTGTCCTTCCTCTATTTTTGTTTGCAGTGACCAGTAATTCCCATTTTTATCCTGTTGTCATGGGAAAGGGCAGTTAATTAAGAACAGCTATGCAACAGTAAGAAATGCAGTATTGTAACCTCTCCCCCCCATCTAAGTGATGTCTTTGGATGTAGGGAACAACTCAGGAATACTTTTTATCCTCGTGTAAAACAGAAAATACAGTCCCCCCCCCCTGAAATTATTTCCTCCTCCAGTTTAATTTGGTTTACAGAGGTAGTTGATATTATGTAGCAGTTCCATAAGAGTGCACAGAAAAAAAAATTTCTAGGAAAAATGAGCGATGCTACACATCTGCTACTGACTATCCTATTTCAGTATGTGTAGCATTAGTCATTTTTCCTAGAAACAGTAGCAGATTTCACACTGTAAAAAAAAAACCCTTAACGTATTTCTCAAGATGAAAAAATTCTGCTCAGCTTGGACATGTTCCTTTTGCCCGGCCACAAGTTTTTACCACAATTTGTTGCAATGCTGAATACACATTAGATCATGTAGTAATGTAGTTTAGGCCAATATTTCTTTTGCTATTGCTCATTTATGCAAGAGAAAACTTTGTAAACCCAGATATGTGTCTGTGCGCACGCATACACCATAGAGCAGGGGTGTCACACATAAGGCCCAGGGGCCAGAAGCTGCCCATCCAGAGCTCTTATGTGGCCCGTGAGCAACTAGTGCAAGGGAAGGAACAGGAGTCTGTTGGGGGGGGGATTGGGCGGAGCCACTCTGATCATGACTCCAGCAGGGCAGAACAACCTCGTCTGCAGCAGTCAAGCACCGTGGGAGCAGCTGCCCAGTGCTGCACTGCTGGCTCTCCAGTCCGCCCATACAGGTTTTCCTTTGCACCCCCCTCCCAGCCCAGGGGGCCTTGCAGTGAGGATACAACAGCTTGGAGCTTACCAGCTGCTGTCCTTTATACAGTTTATATCTCCGGTACCTGGCATTACATTTTATGGCACATATGGCCCGGCCCAACAAAGTGACATTTATGTCAGATCCGGCCCTTGTAACAAATGAGTTTGACACCACTGCCATAGAGAAACTCAGAATTACAACAATAATAATGGTTTCCTTTTGCTTAAAAAAACTGCAAGTCTGTTATTTTATGCTGCAATTTAACTGGAACAACTGTTTCATTTTTCTTTCCAGTTTCAGAAACTGATCATCCTATACATCAATGGTACTATGGAAGCTACTGTACAACGTCTTCACACACACACACACACCCGTTTTTTAAACGAGACACAAATGTAAAGGCACTATTAATGAAAAAGTAGAAAAATAATGAGCAAGATACCAGTTACATGACATTCTTGAAACAGATATCCCCCAATCTGGAAGAAAACAATTCTGCTTTAGTCATTTATATTCAGAAATGTGCTGTCCTCCACCAAACCTACTTTCTCATACACTCATTCAAATCTAACAGGGTATTTTCACACATGCTGAAGAATGCACTTTCAATCCTCTTTCAGTGTACTTTGCAACTGGGTTTTACTGTGTGAAATGGGGAAATCCACTTGCATATGGTCTCTAAAAACGCACTGCAATTGGACTGAAAGTGCATTATTCAGCATGTGTGAATGCGCCCTACCCACTCCTGGATCCACATGTCACATTAGAATTGAATTTTATTATAAATTGCTGTTTCCTTTTATTTTTTGCTTAGTATTTGGGCCCATGCTACTTTTACGTTCTATGCAGTGCTTTGCACCAGGTATTGCGAGCATGTTTTAATATATCTGTAAGTTTACGTTCTATGCAGTGCTTTGCACCAGTTATTGCGAGCATGTTTTAATATACCTGTGTTTTGATTCATATATATGCAAAATAATTGACAGTAATAATCCATGCGTTAGTATACTAGTTGTAAGTTGGTGCTATGAGTAATGGCCCTTTCTACCAAAATGCTAAAAGCTTCTTAAAAGATTCTGAGTCTTTTGCTGATGAGGTTAAAGCTTTTTAGAGAAGGAAGGAGGTTGCACACACTCAAATCTGTAGCCACTTGGCCTCTACTAAAAAAAAGTCATAAACAGGATACAAGTATCCAGCTACGTACATCACCTTTCCCGTTCTTGTCAACATTTGTTTAGAGCTGCAAATATACCTTGACACCCTCAGACTTCTGGACCCCTTGCCAGTCTGGATCCTAAGTATGGAACTGAAGCTTGTGCTTGTATTCTAATTGAACATTTTCACTAGAGATCAGCAAGAGAAACGATATTACTTTGGTCCTTTTACAGATATTTGTGTGTGGGGTTAAACAATTGCTTTTGACCATGAAGTGTTTGCAACAGGCATGAGACAAGCCACTTGTGTGGCTATTGCAGAGTAGCTTGTGCATCCCCTAGAAGACCCAGAAAAAGATCATGAGAAGATCTCCTCTGGGTTTTTCCTTTGTTCTGCTTAGCTCACTGCTTCATTCCTGGTGCTCTTCACAGGCTATTCTCTGTCTCTAGGACAGAACAAAACTCAGTAACATGCTGTGTGGGGAGGGCAACGTAGCTCCGGATATTTTTCATTAGGCAGAAATAGCTCTCATTAACAAAAATGTTGGTTACCCTGGGTTACAGTCTTCCTAACAAAGAGGTCCCTCAAAGATCTTTCTTGTACATTGCTGTAAGGCTCACTTCAGGTCCCGTCTCCTTCCTACATGGGTTTATAAGACCATACTGATATTTGAAGAGAGACGCGGTGAGTATACGTGTCAGTACCAGTATCCACACTAGTCCCATTTGTTTCACATCAATGAGCTGTTTTTGACCTATCAAAGTCTTAATGGCTTTGGTCTAGCTAAGACACTGCCTCCAACTTCATTTCAATAGAAGATCAACAAAAAATCCTTCTGATGGTATAACTCATGTTTCAAATGAACTTGTCAGGAATATCAATAAGTATTTCGAGTCTCCACTGCTATACACTCACTAAAATCTGGACCTCTTTCAAAGTACCCAACTACTCTTTATTTGGGCTACTCTGGTTGTTAGAATTTGGTTTTCTGGATGGTGGTGGATTTTTCCACTAAGCAATGGTGTAAATTTCTATATTTTATTCCAAAACATAAGAAGAAAGGGCTTATTAAATCCTTTCCTTGGTAAGAATGTTCAAGTCTTGTGCAATACAAAATAAGTGCGCAAAATATCAAATTATCAAAGAAAGCTAATTCCGTTAGAAAGACTTTAATTATACACAATACTACACAATAAAAAGGAAGAAAAATGACAGCTAAAAATAGAAAAATACACTGTAAAACAATTATATTTTGTTCCTAGATATTTCATGAATATGTTCAACAAGATTCTTTTCTATTCACAACTTGTGGCATTTAATGGAAGAGAGAAACAGAGCTGAAACAAAACTTTAGTTTCTACATGATGCTGAATTGTAGCAACTCCTGGGGGGGAGTTCAATAAACTAGATTAGAAAATCAATCAATATGCACCAAAGACTCTGGGTTGAAGTTAATTCTGAACAATAAGATCAATTTGGACGAATTCCTCATAGTGCCTAAGCAACTACGTTGTTATGTTTTCTTATTCAATCGTTACCAAAACAAGAACATGATGACTAAAACTGGAATACTTGTCTAATAAATATTTTAGCAATAAAAGGAGAATGCACATCTCAAATAATGGTGGTACAGTAACTAAATGCCATCCTTTTTTCCTCCTTCTCACATGTACCATACAGAAAACTGAAGATTGGAATTCAGACAGTATTGCCACTGACCAGCATGTGGTGCTGATCTAAAAGGAAATGATAGCAACAATATCCATCTTCTACTCCACCTCCAGAATTTTAAAAAAATATAATACAAATCATTATTTGGTCAAAGTTTTGTTTTTAAAAAATGTAAATGCAGCATCCCCTCAACACTACTAACAGAGTACAAAGCAGATTCTTTAGGCAGCCCTTTTCTGAATTAGGGGCAATATTGTTGATTTTCTGTGTAAACAAGCTAAAGAACAGTATCTAATGGCAGGGGTAATTTTTCCTCCAAGACTAATGAATGAATGCCCATTCCAAATTATAGTTGTTATCACCACCAAAATATAAACCATGTACTTGTATGTATGCAGGGTACCTCTACACATATCGCAGACATGCAACTCAACTGATAGTATTTCTGTAATCTAGCCAAAGGGTTTTGGTAAGATTTTTGTATAAACATTTCAGCACTTTTCTCACTCCCTCATTTTGGACCTGGAAGTAAAAAAAATCATATTTACACTTTTTCATGAGTTGCAATAGGTCACACTTTTATGTGTACTTGTGAAACCATCCTTTTCTGGACGTAATATGTTTCACAGAAAGGTCTATGAGAATGAAGGTTCCCACAATTCCATGTGTTGATAGGTTTGATCCAGTTGGCACGTCAGACTACAGACATACATGCAAGCGTCCACTAGAGTGTAATCACCGTTCCATCCTCCTCAATGCCGCCTTTGGGAATAACCAAGCTATGGCGAGGATCAGTTTTTAAGGAACTTAGAATTTTGTGAATATTGCCATTGCTTTCACGCCCCAAGCTGTTATTGAATATCAAGTCCCTCTGTAGTCTGTGGCTAAGGCTGCTGCCATTAATTCGGGAAAGGCTGCCAGAAGGAAGACTGTGTGATTTTGGAATGTGCTGTGGTTCCAGACAACCTTCAATTACAATGTCAGCCTCCTCGTCACTCTCCATTTCATCAGGGTGGAAGTTCTGCAGGACATGAGAAGAAGGCAAACTGTGGTGGCTTGCAGTGCTGTCTGTAGATTGGCCAGAGCTCCCAGACATCCGACTGCTTCTGATAATATTGTTCCTTTGGTTTGCTGGCTTGACAGTGATGATAAGATTATGGCTGTTGGCGATCATCATGTCTGTTACCTGGTCAAGAGTTTTTCCTGCCACTTCTATGCCATTCACTTCCAGGACTTCATCGTTGACAGCTAGCAAGCCTGTACTCTCTGCTAAGCCACCTGGAACCATCCGCGAGATAAAAATGCCAGGTACCTTTTCCAGCCCATGAGGAGTTACTCTGACGCTTGTCCCATCACGAATGTAAAATCCTAGTGGCTTTTCACATCCATGTCGATATAATCTTACCCTCCTGTGAGTTTCAGGTAAAATGTCCACATCAATGATAGAAGACACTGGCCGAAAGTCGTGTGGCATGCTGATGTTAACATGGGGGCGTCTGCGAAGATTATCATTCCGAAGGGTCACCAGAGCTTTCTTTTTCCTGGTCAAGGTGTTTGAACCAAAATTACCATAATCTGCTTCATCTGTGGAGAGAGATAAAAATGTTCCATTTAGTTCAATAGACTACAGATTCAGAAGGTATTTCCAATAAGCAACGGAATCTTATCTCCCACTTTTATCAAATGCAGGCATTTGTTTATGCTAAAAACCTTGCTTACCTTTAACACTTCCTACAGTGTGAGTCAGATAAAATAGGCCAGTCAAGGCTCTATTTTGACTGAGCCTCTTAAAAAGCATCTAGGGTACTGGCTGGCAACCGGGTTGGCCTGCAGACCAGCTGGGAAGAGCACTGAACAAGAGGCAGTCAAATTCCTTCTTTCCTCTACCCATTTGCTTCCATTAATCTTGTTGCTTATTAGGATGAATGATCTCGAATAATATGCCGTGATTACACCGAGGGGGTGAGAAGCAGCAGAGTAGAGGAAAAGTGGATGTATGCAGTCCACATATTTCTCCCTTTGAAAGCCAGTTGAAAAACTGTTGGCTTGGCTAAAAGCCACACTGTATCTGCTAGAAGGGCAGAGGAAAGTGATTGATCTTTAGGCAGGATCTTTAGGCAGGATTTGGCCCATGCACTACAAGTTGCGTTCAACTGGTCAATCATGTATGAATTCCCAGACCAGTCAGTCACTGATACATTTAATCAAACCACTGAATTTATGGTAGCAGTCACCAGCATACCCTTCAAACAAGCATACGGATACTACAGGGCATCTAAAGAGAGACCCATATTCTATTTATTCTTTGCTTTTTGTCTTAAAGTTGTGATTTATTCTCTAATGATCTTGATGGTCAACATTATACCTACTTGTAATCTTCTTGTGTAACTCTTAAGAAACATGCAAACTTTATAATAACTGAAAAACTAACAACAGAAACACAAGTATTTCTACCGTATGCATTCAAGGGCTGTCTCATATTTTAAAGGTATGTCTCTAAAGATTTAATATGTGCATAACCAAAAGCATGTTCACAGCCAAATGTACAATATGCAATACACACACCAGGGGACTGGAATTGGTCTTGGCTCTCTGCTGCCTGGTTAAAATTTTGGAAACCATGTAATTACTGCTGTATTATGTGTGATGCAGTCCTTTACTCTGCTGTCTATGTGTCTCCTAGAATGGTGGTGGACAGGAACTGGATGATATTTACATTTTTGGCAGGTATTACAATCTATTGCCCAGCAGAATTATTTCCAAACTTGGAGCTTGTTATGTGGCACAATGGTGGGATTTTGAGTCATCCTGATGTGGTGGCAGGGGAAACCTTTTTCCTTTAATAAATATTTCCACAAAAAAGATAGCCACTGGAGGCAATCGTGGCTTAACAAACCATGAATAGGTATCTTCAAGGAAGCCCATAGCCTGTTTCCTGTGCTAACAGCAGACTGGCAGAGACTGCAGACAGGTGTACAGTATACAAAGTTAGGAAAATAAGATGGAGATGGCTTTCTGTGCCCACTCTATTAACACAAGGAAGGAGATCAAGTAGATATACCTGGACCGCTTGGAGTCCCACCTGTACTAGCCACACTGCCAAATGGTTTGGGTAGCAAACATCGGAAACACGGCTCACACATTGCTGGAAAAGAGTTATCAGGAGAACAAGAAGGTTTATGAGAAAAGAGAAAAAACGTGGGTTGACAAAGAGTTCCCTCTCCCAAAATACTAGAACTCGAGAGCATCCAATGAAGCTGGTGGGCAGTAGATTCAGGATGGACAAAAGGAAATACTTCTTTACACAGTGAGCAATTAAAATGTGGAATTCACCGCCAGAGGAGGTATTGATGGCCACAGGAATAACAGCTTTAAAAGGGGATTAGGTAGATGCATGGAGGGTATCAGTGGCTACTAGCCATGGTGATGACTGAGGGGAACTTCCACAGAGTCACTAAACCTGTGAATCCCAGAGCCAGGAGGCAACATCAGGTGAAGGGATGGCCACTGTATGAGACAGGATGCGGGACTAGATGGACCACTGGTCTAATCCAGCAGAGCTCTTATGTTCTTATGTGGGCTATGCAGGCGCTAGATTTCTTTTATACAGTACTTAAGAGTTGAAAAGAAAAGAAAAACAAGGTTGCACTTATCTGTAACTGTTGTTCATCAAGGGTACACATGAGGATCATGCTTGCACAGGCCTACCACAGCGATCTGTTTTCTAAAGCTCTCTAGAACATTAAGAGCACACAGCCTCTCTCCCCTCATGGGCCAGCTCCTTCCTGCCCAGCTGACACATGATGGATCGGGGCAAGCACTCCTTCCCTCAGTCCCTTCTCACTGCCATTGAAGGGCCTCAAGAGCGTGAGGATCCCACAATGAGGAAAGGAGGGAGGGGATGTGTGCCTGGACAGAAGAACACTCAGTGAACAAAATTTACAGTGCAACCTTGTTTTCATTCTTTGTTGTTTCCGTGCAGTCCCACGTGGGGGAATAGCAAACTGACTTACTGCTAGGAGGTGAGAGTGGTATCTTCAGTAGGGATCGGCACAAACCAGCTCACAAAGTAAAGTTTGTGACAAACTTTGGCTGGTTTATGGTTCATGAGCCCATGTTTGTGGACATTGGAACCACCACAAACTTCCACAAACTTTGATGCAGTTTGTGGTGGTCGTAGCAGTTTGTGAAGAGCAGAAAACAGGTTAAAATGGCTCTGAGCCATTTAAATCCCTACTTTCTGCTCTTCACAAAAAAAGCTGAGCCAACGGAAGCTTCCCGGCGCTCAGCTGTTTGTGGGGAGCAGATTCGGAGAGTGTAAATGGCTCCAAGTCTCAGAAATCTGGGAGTGAAATGCTTTCCCCGGCCAGCAGAAAGGAGAGGGTGAAGTACTTCTCGGGGGCACTTCATCCCCTCCTGTCTGCTGGCCATGGAAACCACTGGGAGTGCTTCACCCCATAAATGGCTCCCCATTTAACCCTCTGGTATTGCTCCCTGCTGCTTCAAAGCAAGAGGGTTAAATGGCCGGGAGCCTTTTAAACTTGCTCCATCTGCTCTTCACCGCTTTGAGGGGGGAGCAGAACTGGAGTGTTTAAATGGCTCCCAGGAACTTGGATCCATGGCAAACTGAGCTGACGGGGGATCAAGACATGGCCGGTTCCATGGAAGGTGGTAGCTGTTTTTCCCATAGCACCGGGTGGGGGACGGAGCCACTCCTGGCTGAGTGGAGGAGGGATGGGAAGTCTTATGCTTTGACTCCAATTTTTTCTTTTGTGGTGGTGGTTCCAAGGCACTACATGTCACTGAAGATTTCTTTGGAACTCACAGTGGACCTGGTTCAGACACAGATCCTGATGGCACTGACCCCAAAGCGGGGGTACGGGCCCGGTGATCTGGCTCCAGCGCTTTAGAAGGGATCTGATCTCCCAAAGGGCGGCTTTCAGCCTAGAAGCCCAGTCCATCCAAGCTTTTTGGGTGAACTGCTTGCAAGCAGAGCAAGCAGAGATGATGTTGGCCTCACCCAGGCACTGGAGGCAGTTTCATGGTTGTCCCACTGAGCCATTTTTAGGCTGGATTTGACATATTTTTAAAACAGAGTCATAGCACTAAAATAAAAGTCCTCCTTCTTATCCCCCTTTTGTAGGAATGGAGCAGGGTGAAGAGATGAAGAGAAGAAGAATGAAGAGAAGGAAAAAATCACTAAAGAAAAACCTGTGATCAGAAGAGAACCATGGTGGCCTGCACAAGAGCAATCCCCAAAATGTGGCAGCCAGGCTGCTGATGGGTCTCTCTATATGAGACCACATCCAGCCTGTGCTGAAGGCATTGCACTGGCTGCCAATAGCTAACCAGATTCATTTCAAGGTGCTGGTTTTGACCTTTAAAGCCCTATATGGTCAGGGGCCTGCCTACTTGAGGGACTGCCTTTCCCCATATGTGCCCCAGAGAGCACTGAGGTCAGGGACACAGAATCGCCTGACTCTCTCTGGCCCGAGGGACGCCAAGTTAGCCATTACTAGAACCAGGGCCTTTTCAGTGGTGGCTCCACACCGGTGGAACGAGCTCCCAAATGACATCAGGGCCCTGCGGGACCTTTAACAGTTCCACAGGTCCTGTAAAACAGAGCTCTTCCACCAGGCTTTTGATTAGGAGCCACCACTGACAAATGAGCCACTGGAACATACTACGGTCTGTATGATACATCGGTGGACACTGCTTTCCACTTATACTGAATGCCGCCATCATTTGCACAGTTCTTATTGGTATCTTTATGATATTGTAGGTTGTTATGTGTATTTTATTGGATTTACTGTTTAATTGTATTTTAATGTTTGTATGTCGCCTTGAGCCAGTTCGCTGGCAAGGTGGGATGATATTATTATTATTATTATTATTCCACAACAGGCTCCGAGTCAAACAAAAGCTGCATAGTGCTTATTATTATTATTATTATTTGATGGTGATAATGATAATAATGATGATGATGATGATGATAATAATAATAAGTGTCTGCACAGAAGCCACAAAGATGAACCCTGGGGCACCCTGAAGGCTAACAGTTTTGTTGTGGCAAATGCTTTTGTACACTAAATAAGTGTATTGTGCATGCACATGCCATGGTAAGCAAGATAAGGAAACCTGCGAACAATGGAGTCAAAAGACCACAAGACTTGTACCAAATGGGAAGGCCTGAGAAAGTTATCAGCAGTGCTCGTCAGTTAGAAATGGTCTCCTTTGCTCACATCACTGCCTATACGGGTTTGAAAAAGGAAAAGGGGAAAAAAATCAGCCAAACACCTCATCAACGGGATGGCCACCTGCACAATCAATAATTAGACGCAGTACACACATAGCATACATGCCTGTACAAAATGAGTGATTGTACCCTCTGTGACAGCTAGAACTGAGATCGCTAACTCCTCCTCCCCCTCAGGCGCTTGTGATCAGGAAGTCTCTCAAGAAGGAGATGAAGCTCGGCAGGGGCTTCCTGCAACTTTCTTTTCTTTCTGCCACAATAAGCTACAAGTGCCAGAACAAGTTATGGCAACTGGCTGGGGTGGGAGGGGTCGGGATGAGGAATTGAT